TACTCGTATGACTCATTTACATGCTTGATTTTAAAAATGGTTCTCCCTTCCACAGCTCCAACAAACCATCCACACAAGTTATGCCCATTGCCAAAGAAGCCAACGAATCCCACAGAAACTCTTCCAATAACTGCATCTGAACACATTGAGTCATTACCCTCGCCATCAAAGATAATCATGGATATTAAGGTTAATGCCTGTGTGAATTGTGTAAATTTTTTAAAATCTTTTAGTCGTGCATTCCCTCCTTTTATCTACCATCTTTCATTTACTCTTAGAATGCCTTCATAATATCCTACATATTCTTTGACATTTTTTTATATTGCAAACTTTCATTTTCTTGGCCTTGATAAAATAATCAAAAGAACAGATGAGGTGACACTATAAGAAATAACATAATCTTATCTCTCACACACACCAAACATAATACAATGGAATAAAGATCCTCTTTCCAATTTTCAGGAAATGGTCAGAATAATAGTCTTAAGGGACACAGCAGATTCTGACTGTAAGCCAAGTGAGGAGGGTGTCGGCCGCCTGCTAGGAGATATCCGGGGAATCCTGACTGGACGGCAGGACGTCAACCTGACTGTATTCAGGGTGCTTGAGAGCTTGACTGTGGACTTGGCTGTGTCTTTGGGTGAGTTGGAATGTGTCTAGGAATAACATTGCTTGTGGCTATTAGATTATTGCTAATGAAGTTTTTGTCTTTAAATTTTTTTTATATCAGTTTCACTTATTGTCGATGTTTGGTACCTGATTTTTATTCCTTATTGCTCTTTTTCATTATTTGTTCTTTCTTTTACAATACTTTCATTACTACACTCATCCCATCCCATGGATATTCTTGTCACATTTATAAAATATAATAAAATGGAAAAGTTTTTCAACTTGTGGAAATCTGTGGGGATTTGAGCATTTATATACATATACACTTCTAAGTTAGTGAGTCTGTTTTTTTTAGCTTTATCTTTTAGTTGTACTGGAGGCTTATTTTACCGGTAATTTTGCATAACTAGTATCCATTAGATATATATATGTGTGTGTAAATTTTTCCTTCTAGCGGTCTGCCTACCAGACATGATGACCCCCAAGATACAGGAAACCTTCATAGAGCTCTGGCAACCACTGGATAAGAATGGAGTTATCCCGTCCCCATGTGGCCTTGCTTCACCACTGAATCCTCGCACAGTCATGCTCATTGCCCAGAGTCCGAGCGCCAGCCACCAGAGGGCGTCATGGGCTAAGTTGGAAAATTTTCTCACTGCACTTCTGATAAACAAGCTGGTAACACCTGCAAGTCTACAAGAGCAGTGCATTGCCCTCTTGAGACACTCTTGGCCCCAGGTAAAGAAAATTTTTCATCATCTGTAGTTTACTCCATTTTTTATTAGTTGATATAGCTAATCCTGCAAACTCAGTGGTTATCTTTAATCCCTTGATGATGGGTAACATGTCATCATGTTATGTCAGAAAATGCCATGCTTTGTCATGCCATGTGTTTTTAATTTAAGTAGTATTTAGTATTCAGTAATGGCACAAGCCCTTCTTTCTCAGTTGTAGATCTGTTAATAATGTTTTTTTTTTCTTTTAGCAGTCAGGCTGCATAGTAGGCTCTGCCCAGTCAAATTATGAACCCTGTTACCATAAATAGTTTTGCCATTTTTTTTGTTTTTCAGTTATTGGCCTAATACTGTCAAAATATCAAGGAAAACACATTTGAAAGAGGAAGAATAACATTTTCCATATTTATCTCTTTTATCACTCTTTCAGGAAATTCTGACAGGAATGTCTTCATGTATTGAGGCTGTTTCGAAGGAAGCCCAGAAGAACAAGGACCTCTGTGGAAACCCAACTTTGGTGCAGCTGCTGGAGTGGGTTGGTTGGGTGTGCGGCCAGATGGAAGATTTCCCCGATGTGTTATAGCAAACCTTTACAAAGAGAGAGTTGTCACCCAGTTTTTGGGTGGGTACAAAGTTGAGGGTCTATGTTGCAGTTTGGCTTGCGTAGACATGAGAATGGTGATATTCATATACAGGATATTTTAAGGCTTAACTTATCTTTTTTCACCCTTCCTTTGAGAAATGTACTATAGTCATTTTCTTCAGACATTCATTTTCATTTTCATTTTAGTGAAAGATGAAAGCAAACATGCTGATATTCTTTTTATCCATATGTATGCACACACACACGTAGACACTTTCGTGCGCTTACACATACCCAGGCAGGCGAGCACGCAGGCGCATCACACACAGCACACACACACACACACACACACACACACACAGACACACACACACACACACACACACACACACACACACACACACACACACACACACACACACACACACACACACACACACACACACACACACACACACACACACACACACACACACACACACACACACACACACACACACACACACACACACACACACACACACAACGCACATACACACACACATACACATACACACATATATACACACATACACACACATATATACACACACATATATACACACACACACATACATACACACACACATACATACACATACATACACACATACATACACACATACACAACATACATACACACATACACACACATTACATACACATACATAAACACATACACACACATACATACATACATACACATATACATATACATACACACACACATACACATACACGTACGCACACACATACACGTATACACACGTGCACACACACGTACTCGCACATGCACACACATGTACTCACACACGTACACATGCATACACACATGCATACACACACGTACACATATGTACACACACATACGCACGTGCGTACACACCCACACGTACACCCACACCCACACACCCACACACATACATGTACATATACTTACATACATACATACAAACACATACACACACATAAACATATATATGTACTTAAATTGACATACATGCATATTATATATATAATATATATATATATTATAATATATATATATTATATATATATATATATATATATATATATATATATATATATATATATATATATATATATATATATATATACATATATATACATATACATAATATATACATATACATATACATATACATACACACACACATATGTATGTGTGTATATAGATATGTATGCATACACATTTACATAGTAGATTTGCATTATATTTTATATTTCCATTTCCATTTGTTCAGAAGAGTAACCACAACCTTGAGATAACAGGGCTTCCACATTGAGACCTTTAATTATTCTCAGAAGTCTTTGTAATTAACTTCTCTTTCTAGTTGTCTTACTTTTATGTCCTCATTGTTTATAGATGTGCATATAGCTTTATTTTTTTCCCTTTCCTCTCCTAATTTCTACAAACTGCTGAGTGGAATTGCATGTATACACTGTGTGAAATAGAGTAGAAGCTCAGGAAATGTCCTCAAGAGCCCTTCCAGCAACATTTCAAATGAATGTGATATGAAGAATTACATTGCAGCATGTACACTATATATTCTCATAGCATACAGTGATTGCTATAATGGTTGTTCTTTTTGTTTTATTTATTTCTTTATTTTTTTCTAAACTGAAGAGGTTAATTCTTTGTAACTGTTACATTTTTATTGTGATTGTTGACATTACGGATTAAATGGAAAAAAGATGATTCCAAGCAATAAATAGGCTTTATTGAAGTACTGACAGGTGTTGTGGCATATTGAAGAATTGGAGTATGATAGAACCCTACTCACTGATTAGAGGTTGTACTTTGACCTACTGCAGATAGGATGCCTGTCTATTCATTTTTTTCATGTGTAAATAAGACTTGCCAATTATAATGTAAGTAAAAATGCCAAAAGAGAAAGAACTCAAATAAAGTATTGAAGTGAATTGCAAAATGCAAGGACCTTTTTGCTGTCTCAGGGAAGAGTTCTAACTCAATTATTGTAGCAACATTGCAGTGCATAGGAACATGTATAAAGCTTTACATAATTTAGGAGTCACTTGTGCAAGGGAATTTAATGTGTATTAGGGGAGTTAAGAGAGTAACATTGACAACATATGATAAAATGTTATGCAAAGAATAGTTTGGGTTTTATTGTCAGAAGTCAGAAGTGACTGGTTTATTATACAGCAAAATAACATAACTTGAGAGACCTCATTTTTAAAGATTTTATCCATCATCATTTAAGTGTTCATATTTGTGATTTGTAGAATTTGATAGATTACACATTATTTTATTATGAGTGTTATAAAAGAACATAGTATTATTGCTAGCTTTTTCATGAATAATTTTTGTGGATTGTAGATGCTGAAAAAAGTCTGATACGCATGATTTTCCAAATGAAGACTGAAGGTAAGATATTCAAGATTTGTATAGAAAAGGAGATTATAGGAACTTCTTTGTTTCCTCTGACAGCAACTGCCAAAATAGCCAAACTCATCTTTAATGTTAAAAGGTTACTCAGGGTCTTTGATGATGATCAAGTTTATTAACATTAATAAACTTTTTAACAACTTTTTTATTATTTTATTAGTTTTTTATTATTATTATTATTTTATTTTTTATGGTTATGATGTTTATTTTTCTTTCTTTCTTTCTTTTCAATGTCAAATAAGTCCTATTATTTCATTGATAAATATACCCAAGTGTCCTTTGAAGTGTCCAGTTGGAATTGCAACACATGATATATGTCCCGATGATAAGCTTAGTTCCTCCTGATAGACTGTAAATACCATAGTGACTTTTGATAGCCCATGTAAAAATTTTAGTTACTTTTGATAGCCCATGTTATAAATAGTGTTATTTTCAGTAACCCATATGATTAGTATTGTTATTCTTGAAGGCTGTATACTAGTGCAGTGGCCACATCTTCCCTGAGTCCAAGTGTTTTGCTGTTTAGACTGGGAATTGGCTTTGGTGTTTGTATGTTCTTTGAAGATGAGATTGTTTTTTTTTTTTTTTTTTTTTTTTTTTTTTT